GGTGTCGTGGTTCGGCCCGTTAAGCAAACGGCTATCAGCCGTGGTAGGGGGGCCCCGCACCCCTCCCTCTCCCTGGCATCCCCACCTCATGCGGACACACAACCACCAGCCCTGATGCGGGTAGGCCATCGAGAGCAGGGAAAGAGGACGCCCGCAGTGGAACGCTGCGCCCGGGCTGACGGGGGCAGATTGGATGACGTCGCTGCCACTCGGGACAGCCCCGGTCCCGACAGGCGGGGAGCGGCAGCCGACAGCTCTGCGCCAACCGCATCAGGAGGCGGCAGCGTCATGCACACTCCAGACGTGGTTGAGGACCGCCAGGCAGCCCCGGCCCCCAGTTCTCATACTTACCTTTACGGCCATCAGCCGTTCCCTGGCTCTCTGCCTCTCTCTCCCACCCTCTCTCTCTATACATGAAGGATGGGACGGCCATCAGCCGTATGTTCCTGCAGCCATACTTGCAGTGCTCGTGCGGCCATCAGCCGTCTCATGGAGTTAGTCACTCTGGAAGACGCCTCTTCCCCCTTGCCGGATAGGTGATGTCAGTTCCCACCTGCCCGGGTCTCTCCTTCCCGCGTAATTCGCGGTTCCCTCTGTGCGGCGTCCTCGACACACGCCCCCTGGCCCGCCCCCACGGTTGCGTCTGCAATTCATGGGCGACTGGTCTAGAATAGTTGCTCAGCTGGCCGTGTCTGGTGCCGGCCCTTTGGGGACTCACCTGCCGTCTCACTCAGGAGTTGCTCAGCCTTCTTGCAGTGGCCGGCACCAACCCCGCTGTCGCATCGTTACCGCCTCATGGCACATACCTCGCCACAGCTGTGGCCTCGACCCCTGGCGCCCTGTGGCGACAAGGTCCAGTTGGTACCCGGTGACCTCCTCCCACGGTACCCACTTGAGCTCGTGTGCGCTCGCACCTCTCGGGCTCCGTTCTCCTGGCTGCGCGCCGCTTCACCGGGTTCGCCCGTCTGGTGGCACCGCCCCGCTCGGCAGACGTGTGGTCTTTTGGTACAGAACAGGTCACGACATCTCCTGGCGTGCAGGAGCCAATTCACTCGCATGTGTGCATCAGCTACCCTGGCCGCTTGCAGTCAGCTCAGCCAGCTCCCCTTCAGCCTGCGGCCCCACCGGCGGTAGGTTCTGATTCCGGGCTCGGCCGGTGTGCTCTTAGGCTTGCGCGTTGCTGATTTGACAGGCCCGTGGCCCGGACCTCTCAGCTCGGCGACTGCGAATCCGCGTCCGCCCGCGACCAAAAAAAAATGCGCTACCGAGGAACCCCACATTTGTGTTTGCTTAACTTTATAATATATGCGCAATTCTGCGTTCTCAGCCCTCGTCGCAAATGTTCCCCTGTGTGTCATCCAACGCCACATTGCTTGAGCCTCCCTCTTCCCAGCCTTCTATCCTCCATCGAGGACAGATTCGAGCCAGCTAGCGGCCACGGTGAGGGACCACCCCCTGCGCAGCCTCTATGGCGTCGAGAAAGTGCCACGCCTGCTATGCCCTGGACGACCGTCGTGCAAAGCGGCCGCGCTGAGGGACCACCCCCTGAGCAGCCTCTATGGTGTCGAGAAAATGCCGCGCCTGCTATGCCCTGGACGACCGTCGTGCATAGCGGCCGCACTGAGGGACCACCCTCTGCGCACCCCCTGTGGTGTCGAGAAAGTGCCACTCCTGCTACGATCTGCGAGCGTGTCACGGATAGAGGCCGCGCTGAGGGACCAACCGCCCTTTGCGCACCTTTTGTGCTGTCGAGAAAGTGCCACTCCTGCCACGATCTGCGAGCAAGTCACGCATGGAGGCCGCGCTGAGGGACCACCCCCTGCGCACCCCCTATGACGTCGCGAAAGTGCCACTCTTGCCACGATCTGCGAGCGTGTCACGGATAGAGGCCGCGCTGAGGGACCATCCTCTGCGCACCCCCTGTGGTGTCGAGAAAGTGCCACTCCTGCCACGATCTGCGAGCGTGTCACGCATAGAGACCGCGCTGAGGGACCACCCCCTGCGCACCCTCTCTGGTTTCGAGAAAGTGCCACCCCTGCCACGCGATCCGACCCTGGCACGCATAGAGACCGCGCTGAGGGACCACCCCCTGCGCACCCTCTCTGGTGTCGAGAAAGTGCCACACCTGCCACGCTCTCCGACCCTGGCGCGCATAGGGACCGCGCTGACCCTGGGACCACCCCCTGCGCACCCTCTCTGGTGTCGAGAAAGTGCCACCCCTGCCACGCTCTCCGACCCTGGCACGCATAGAGACCGCGCTGAGGGACCACCCCCTGCGCACCCTCTCTGGTGTCGAGAAAGTGCCACCCCTGCCACGCTCTCCGACCCTGGCACGCATAGAGACCGCGCTGAGGGACCACCCCCTGCGCACCCTCTCTGGTGTCGAGAAAGTGCCACCCCTGCCACGCTCTCCGACCCTGGCGCGCATAGAGACCGCGCTGAGGGACCACCCCCTGCGCACCCTCTCTGGTGTCGAGAAAGTGCCACCCCTGCCACGCTCTCCGACCCTGGCACGCATAGAGACCGCGCTGAGGGACCACCCCCTGCGCACCCTCTCTGGTGTCGAGAAAGTGCCACCCCTGCCACGCTCTCCGACCCTGGCGCGCATAGAGACCGCGCTGAAGGACCACCCCCTGTGCACCCTCTCTGGTGTCGGCAAAGTGCCACCCCTGCCACGCTCTCCGAACCTGGCGCGCATAGGGACCGCGCTGAGGGACCACCCCCTGCGCACCCTCTCTGGTGTCGAGAAAGTGCCACCCCTGCCACGCTCTCCGACCCAGGCGCGCATAGAGACCGCGCTGAGGGAGCACCCCCTATGCACCCTCTCGGGTGTCGGCAAAGTGCCACCCCTGCCACGCTCTCCGACCCTGGCGCGCATAGGGACCGCGCTGAGGGACCACCCCCTGCGCACCCTCTCTGGTGTCGAGAAAGTGCCACCCCTGCCACGCTCTCCGACCCAGGCGCGCATAGAGACCGCGCTGAGGGAGCACCCCCTGTGCACCCTCTCTGGTGTCAAGAAAATGCCACCCCTGCCACGCTCTCCGACCCTGGCGCGCATAGAGACCGCGCTGAGGGACCACCCCCTGTGCACCCTCTCTGGTGTCGGCAAAGTGCCACCCCTGCCACGCTCTCCGACCCTGGCGCGCATAGGGACCGCGCTGAGGGACCACCCCCTGTGCACCCTCTCTGGTGTCGAGAAAGTGCCACCCCTGCCACGCTCTCCGACCCTGGCGCGCATAGAGACCGTGCTGAGGGACCACCCCCTGCGCACCCTCTCTGGTGTCGAGAAAATGCCACCCCTGCCACGCTCTCCGACCCTGGCTGTGCTGAGCTGAGCTGAGCTGAGCTGTGCTGTGCTGTGCTGTGCTGTGTGCTGTGCTGTGCTGTGCTCTGCCGTGCTGTGCGGGGAGGGGGGAGGTGTGAGACGCGGGTGCGGCGCGGCAGGGAACAAAACCAGAACCCCACGAGACATGTGGGGAAGTATCCTCACCAGTCGTGCGCCCTGGCAATACCGGCATTCAGCTACAACCAGCCCCCTCCACTCGCCGGCCCGCCGCTGAGGTGCTGCGTGAGGCTTCGCCCCGCCGCTTTAGGTGAGGCTGCGCCCCGTCAATGTGTCGGTGCGTGCCCCGCTTTGACTGGACCCGCCGCTGGCGCGTTCGCCTGCGGCCGCTGACTAAAAGTATCCTCACTAGTGCCGCCAGCTGCTTCCGACGCGTTGCATGCGTGCACCCTGGCAATACTGCTCCCCAATCTACCGCCAGCCTTTGCCCACTCGCCGGCTCGGCCGCTGAGGTGCTGCGTGAGGCTCCCGCCCACCGCTTTAGGTTAATTCGTCTTTGCGCGCCCCGCTCTGACTGGACTCGCCGCAGGCGCGCTCGCCTGCGGCCGCTGACTAAAAAGTATCCTCACCAGCCCATTCCAAAACAGACACTAGCCGAGTTGCCCTGGTCACGGATTTGTAGCAGCATGCGGCACAGCAGTGAACCGACGACGATGACGACGAAGACGACGACGACGGCGAGGACGACAACGATGACGACAGGAGTCACTATCAAGACATTTGCAATCTTTCGCTCTGGGAGCGTTTTGGAAGCCTCTTGGGGCCCTCTTGGGGCCAGTTGGACCTGAGGGCTGCCTTGGAGGCCTTGGGGGCGATACCCCCAAACATTATGGTTTTCTACTGTGTTCAAAAGGACCTCTCCGAAGGAGTAGAGCTCGAAGGCGATGAATTGAAGGTCCCGTTCGCGATGTGTCTGGCCGTTTCGCTAGGAACATCCTCGGAAGTCTGGAAATCGGTGGCACCCCTCACGCAGATCGCAGCGTCACGGTCCAAACACACACAGTGGTTTTTCACAGATGGTTCGTATGAACATCTGGTTCGTATGAAGACGCACATGTATTTCACACAATGGTATTTCCCAGTAGGAAACACACCTCCTGGGTTGCCTTCGTAAGAACAATTGAAATCAAGTCCGGTTGCGGAGACAGTAAGCTGGATTATGCGAGATTGCTCCCAAGATTAATTCGAATATGCGGTACATAACGAAACTGTGCCAGATTAGGCTAGTTTCCGACCACAGATATACCAATGCAAATGCTGATTTAACCTGCCAGGAATTGCATCCTGACTTCCCGCCCGCACCGGTCCTCCTCCACCGATGACGGCGACGAGGACGACAAAGAAGGACCTCCTCGTCGTCGTCGTCGCCGATGTGCCGCCGCCGCCGTCGTGTCGGGGGCGCGCGAACCCGGGGCAACACTAACTGGGGTCAGCCAAGACCCCGTCGCGAGCCCAGGCCTACCACACGGTAGCCCGGAAAGCAGGGTCAGCGGAGGGAGGGAGGGAAGGCGGGGTCGGCTCCCCGTGGCCCCCAACTCCAAGTCATCAGGAGTCAAGATGGGATCGGAGCCGCAGGGGCGCGTGGCCGCCGTTAGCGTTGACCCCCGTGACGTGCGCCCAGATCGCGGCGGCTGGCGCCAGCCCAAGGGGATGCCGCTGCTGCCACTCGGACGCCACCCTCTCCGCCGCCAGCGCCGCGTGGGGTGCGGCGAAGCCGAAGGCCACGAGCGTGAGGCAGGCCTGGGCCAGGGCGGCAGCTAGAGACACTTGACTCCTCGAGCGCAATTTCGGAGACTGCAGAAGAAAGGCTAAGGGGACGATCGGGGAACACTGGATGATTTGCTTTTCGAGCGCAGTCTTGGGAGACGGACGATCGGCGACCACTGGACGAGCGCGCAAAAGCCCGCCAAGTGGGCATCTGGGCAGTCCTGCGGCAGCACTGAGAAAGAGCCCACCGCCACGATCGAGGACGAGTTGGGAACAATGCCGATACTGCTGCTCTCCCGGCCTCTCCACGGGTGCGCCCTGACCAAGATTTTGAGGCGCCTCCAACCATGGCTGAGGAAGGGGCAGCGGTATCGGTACAGTCAGACTTGGTAGTATGGATGCACGGTAATGAAGCACGGGCCTTGGAAGGCCGTGCCATCATGTTTGAAACGGTGCGCGGCCGAATATCCAAGGACACAAGGGCACCCGAATACATCTCCATATTTGCCGAAGTAGAGCAAGGATATGCCTGGGCCACGGCAAGGATCCACTGGGTCGCCCTACCTAACCCGCATACTCTGCGGCGTTCCCAAAGTGTGCGACGCGGGGCAGATTGCGGTGGCCAGGAAGCGGGACGGCACCCTGCCTGGTCCGCATCCTAACGTGGCGCCCTCAACATGTGCCACGTTGCAAGGGCGGTCTGCCTGTTCGCATCCTAACGGTCGCGCCCCAGGCGTGCGACGCGGGGCACATTGCGATGGCCAGGATGCGCAAGGGTGCCCTGCATCTGTAAGCTCGCGACATGAGTATGCGACACTGCGCACAAAACCGCGAAAAAGATGCGCACGGGTTCCGTGCCTGGTCCGCATCTTTGGCCGCGTTCCTGACGTGTGCAACGCGACGCCCATTGCAGCGGAAAAGGCAACCTCCAGGGCGCCCTGTCTGGCCCGCATTCTTCGCAGACCTCCCCAAATGCGCGACGCCGCACACCTTGTAGCGGCAAGGGTGCGCAAGGGCGCCCTGCCTGGCGCGCATCCTTACGGTCGCGACCCAGGTGCGACGCGGGGCATACTGCGATAGCCAGGATGCGCAAAGGCTCCTTACCTGGCCCGCATCATTCGGCAGCGCCCCCAGATGTGCGACGCTGCGCACATTGCGGCAGAGCACCTTTAGTGGCGTTCCCCAGGCGCGCGACGCGGTGAACATTGCTGTGGGCAAGACGCACAAGGACGCCCAGCCAGGCGCGAACCATCAGGGTTGCGCCCCAGGCGCGCGACACTGCACACACTGTGGCCCCAGACTCCAAGGCCAACGTCTCCGTTCTTTTTCCTTCCAAATGACTCCTCCCTGTCGTATGCCGAGGCCGGTCGAAAGGGCGGGCCGGGCGTCTCGCCTGAGACTTCTTCACCGAATCTGACCCTAATGTGTAAACACCGGAAACAATCCCAAAGATGGAGGCCGGGTCGCTTCCAACATGTTGTTCTCGCCTTGGCGACGCGCGCATTCTTTGAACACAAATGTGCATGAGCTTCGCTGGCTGAGAGCGGACCGACCTCAAAGTATAGCTCTCGCCTAGGGAACTTTCACATTCGCTTCAAATATCTGAACGAGCTTCATGGATTGAGGGGTTGTCAAACGGTGGCTGTGGCCGTAGCGCCGCGCACACTCGCTTTAAACATTTGCAGAACGCTTCATTGATTGAGGGCGGGTGGTGTTCAAAATGTGGCTCTCGCCTGAGCACCGCGCGCACTCTATACCTTCTACGGTCAAGAAATACAAGGGCTCTAAGAGTTGAGGGCGGGTGGTTTTCGAAATGTGGCTCTCGCATTAGCGCCGCGCGCACTTATTTGAAGCATGTGCAATAGCTTCACGAATTGAGAGCGGCTCCTTTTTCAGAATGTGGCTCTCGCCTTAACGCCGAGCACATTCGTTTCACACATGTGAAAATATTCTACTGATTCTTATGGCTAGCGTACCAGAAACGGTGCGTTGGAGCGGTTCACGATTGTCAGGGCGCGACAATTACGTTGAGTCGCGGTGCTGAAAGTCTGTTCTGGCACGACTCAGGATCGCCAAGACGCAGCAGGGAGGTTCACTCGTGGCGTCAAAGCCCTGAACATGCTGGTCTGGCACGTTTCAAAATGTTCGCACGGTTGTCCCCCCCCAGCAAGGCACTTCCCTGTGGAAGTGACCCTTTTTGTGGGGGTCTATGGAAGAGGTATCTTGAGGGATGGTGTATTCCAACATCGTTGGTGCGTCTTGGGTTTACACTGGTTTTCATCCTCCCCCTTCTCTCCTTTCTCCCCCTCGTCCTCCTCCTCCTCATCATCCTCCTCCTCCTCCTCCTCTTTCTCCTCCTCTTCCCCCTTTTCCAGTGACCCAAACCACGGGTGGGTCACCCGAGAACTAAGTGGCAGATGCTAATGTGTTTCACCAACATTGTGGGCCTCCATCACACCAAAAGATATCGCAGGTGACCCAACCAGTGGGTGGGTCACCCAGGTGGTGAAAACTATTGGTTGCATGTGCGTTCAAGGCCGTACCATGAGGCGACACACTGCCACGAGACACGGTTTCTGTTTAGCGCTCGGGTGACAAAACAAGAGGTGGCACCTGCATGATGGGCCTCAACATGAGGCGGCACGCTGCAACACAACGCATCTCCTGTATAGCGCTCTCACGCCCCCTGAGAACTCACAAATGACGCAATCATGGGTGGATCACCCGAAAACAAGGTGGTACAGAACAGTTGCCCTACTTGCAGTTCCGGCCTCAACATGCGGCGATACGCAACGCATGTTCTGTGTAGCGCTTTCACGCCACAGGATCTCACAAGTGACCTACACAACCATGGGCGGGCCACCCGAAAACTGGGTGGTGAAACCACACTGCTTCTGGGCGTAACCCGGATTCGTCTCTCGCGAAGTAAACTGATTATGTTGAACTGAACAGAACTTAACTGAAGTGATCACACTGGTCGCACCCGTTACCCGACGGTTGCACTATCGACCGCCAAGGGCGCAACCTATGGCGGAACCGATAGGAGACGGTTGCATTCTCAGCCGCCACAGCAGCAGCACGCCGCTTCGTGGAGGACGGGTGCCAGCCCACCCACGACAGTGGGGAGGCGAGCAGCAGTGTGGCGGGCCCCTCCCTCTATCATCATCGTGGCGAGAGCCAGATTCTGGGATCCGTCGGCGACGGTGACCTGCGTGCTGACGAGGTGCAGCCGTCGGCGGGCTCCTCCCCCTTTCAGCATCGTGGCGAGAGCCAGATTCTGGGATCCGTCGGTGACGGTGACCTGCGTGCTGACGAGGAGCCGCCGACGGCAGGCGACGGGGGCGCTGTGGCCCAGCCTGCTGCGCCGCCGCCCAGCGGCTCTGGCTCGCTCGACGCGGACGGAGGCGGCCACGACCTTCGCACGTACTTCGGGTACCGCGTCTGCCTGAGGTGCTTCCAACACGCGAAGGAGGTGAAGGGCAAGCACAGGGGGGTCGGCATGGCCTGCGCCCCAGCTCAAGCCCAGCGCCCAGGCCGAGCGCAGAAGGAAGGCTGAGAAGATAATGAGAGGAGTGGCTCCGTCGGGGAGGCCACTCGCGTAATGGCGTCGCGGCGGGCTCCACTTCTTTACTGAGCTGCCGCCCGCGTCGCCTGCTGCGTCGCCGCTGCTCTGCCCTGTCGAGGTGCCGCCGTTTGCGGCGACTCCAGAGGCGGCCAACAGGGCTGCCGTGCGGCCCGCGGCGCAGAAGCTGGACGTGCGCGCTGCGCGCACTCAGGCTGCTGAGAAAAAATTCTCAGCCGCCAAAATCGCAACTTATGGCGCAACCGATCGGAGACGGTGGATTCTCGACCGCCAAGGGCGCAACCCATGGCGCAACCGATAGGAGACGGTTGTATTTTCGGCCGCAGGGCATAACTTGTTTTTCTCGCAAAGCACGATGACTCCAGCCACAGCAGTTGCGACACAGCCGGCGTCAAAACTGTTAAAGCAGTTTGCGCCCAAACCGGCGTTGAAGCTATTAAACCATCTTGCGCCCACTACTACCTCAACATCACTGGTGCTGTATACCCCCCGAAGTGTCAGCGCGCAAGAGACACCGCGAGACTGCATCGGCCACGCGGCCGCGACCGGCAAATGCTACCCATGACAGCTATTGCCCGGGCATGTGTACAAAACTGGCGCGACAAGGTTCGACGTCTAATGGAAACACATTCTGACATTCGCACACAGATGCCCAGGAGGAGGAGGTAGAGGAGGGAGGGGAGGAGGAAGGATAATGGAGGAGGGAGGAAACCGAATTCGCCAGCGGTGCGATCAGACATCAGCCTGGGTGACCCCAGCAAGGCCGGCCCGAGTCCTACCACGTAGGGGCGGGACGCGGCAGAGTGGACGCACCCTTGGGGTGGCAGCCAAGAAAAAAAGGGGAGGGAGAAGAGGACCAGGGGAAGCGGAGAGCTCCGGCTGTTCAGAGAGCTCACCGCCTGCCTGGCCTCACCGCCGAGGGCACAACCTATGGCGCAACCGATAGGCGACGGTTTTATTCTCAGCCGCCGAAGGCGAAACCTATGGCGCAACCGACAGGAGACGGCTGTATTATCAGCCGCCGAGGGCGCAACCTTTGGCGCAACGAACAGAACATCGAGCTGGAGCAGGAGGAAAACGAGGAAGACATGGAGGATGAGAAAAACGAGGAGGAGGACGACGACGACCAGGATGGGGAGGATGACGGGGAGGAGTATGAGTAGTACGAGGACGAAGTGTGGGCATTCGAATGCGTACGGGGCTGCGCCCGATTCATGCTCGCCGTTTGGGCTGGCGGTGGGGCCCAAGCGGCGAGCTGTCTTGTGATGTACTTGCATTCTGGGCCTCCACATGAGGCGACACATGGCCATGCAACACGCTTTCCGTATAGCGCTTCCACGCCACTGGAAGTATCACCCGTGACCAAACCATGATTGTGCCACCAGAGCACTGGATGGTAAAAGACAGCGGTTTCGGACATTCTGAGCATCCAACATGAGGCGACACACTGCCACGCAACACGTATTCTGTCTAGCGCTTCACTCCGTTGGAGATTTCCCGGGGGGGATGGCCGCGATGCCCATGCCCCCCCGAACATCCTCCCCAGAATGCAGCCAGTGCCGCCTCGTTCGGCGGCGGAAATCCGCCCAACCATGGTGAACGCCATGTGTCTTATGTGCACTTCTGCGACTCGACATGAAGCAGCACGCTGCCACGTAACACGTTGTCTGTGTAGCGCTCTCACACAAACGCAAACCTCACAAGTGACCCCACCAGAAAACCAGATGGTGAAAGTCATGTGTTCCACTTGTATTCTGAACCTCGCATGAGGCGCCACATTTCCACGCAACATGTTTTCTGAACAGCGCTCTCACACCACAGCATCTTACAAGTGATCCAACCAAGGGTGGGTCACACATAACTTGAAAACCAATGTTCCCGCCTGCATTCTGGACCTCAGCATGAGGCGACTCGTTGCCACGCAACACATCTCCTGTATAGCGCTCTCACGCACCAGGATCTCACGGATGACCGAACCATGGATAGATCACCTGGTGACAGCCACACCTTCTCTGTGCTGTCTGGGCCTCAACATCAGGCGGCACATTGCCACGCAACACGTTTTCTTTATAGCGCTTTCACACAAGAAATCACACGTAACCCAACCATGGGTGGGTCACCAGAGGAGGAGGAGGAGAAGGAGGAGGAGGACGAGGAGGAGGGGGAGGAGGAGGAGGAGGAGAAAGAGGAGGAGGAGGAGGAGGATATGGCTACGCGGCCCGCATCCTTCTGGCCGCGCCCGCCCGCAAGATGAAGGTAGGGTTGATGTGCTCAAGAGTGACCCAAGGTGCCCTGCCCAGCGCGCATCCTTGGAGCCGACCCCAATCGCGAATGGGAGAAGGCAGACACCGGTCCGAGGATGGCCAAGGATGTCCTGCCCATCGAACCTTTTTTCAGCCTTGCCCGCCTGCGAGTGGGAGGGCATGGAAGAGGTGCTCAAGAAAGACCAACAGTGCCCTACCCATGGCTTATCCTATGGGCTCGGCCCCAAGGCACGCCGCACCTCGCAACGGCAGGATGCAGGTTGCCTCAAGGGTAATTACCATACAGGGCTGGCCAACGAAAGTGGCCAATGATAGGCCGAAGGGAAAGGATGCAAGGGTAACTTTGGAAAGTCGCTTATCCTCACTGTCAGTGCTGACTGTAGATCAACCCCCATCAGAAGGGGGAGGGAGGGGGCCCGATAGAGATCCGGTGGCGCCAAGAGGATCGCGCGGATTTCGTGGATTGGCGCTGCACTCACCTCCTTGGCGCGCGGAACGCACCGGGGGCAGCGGCGAAGACGCCGCTGGGAGGGGGGGCCAGCGCATACCCAAGAACTCCCCGCGGAGATCCGAAAGCTCGTGTATGCCGATGTTTCGTCTCCGGGGCACCCCTTCTGTCGCGGTGCAGGCGCCCCAGTTCTTCGGCAGAAGGCGGGGGCGGACGCAACTCGCGGCCTGCCAGGCGTGCTGTTTAACATGGGGCAAACGGGTCCTGAGGGGAAAACGGGTCCTGGACCCAGGGGCCTCCCCTCAGGACGAGTTCTTCACCCTGACTCGTTTTCTGACACTCCTGGGTCCCGTGGAGGGCCCTGGGGGCCCGAGAACGGCGAAAAAACCTCAGGACCCGTTTCCCTCTGGACCCGTCTCCCCCGTGGCGTGCTGCGAAGCCTCGAAGGCCCGCCTCTTGGCCAGACCGGTTCGCGCCCCACGGCGGCCTGCCGCCCGGGCAGCCAGATGCTGGCGCTGCGCGCTGCCCACGGGCGGCGCTTCGCGCGTGGCGTCTGCGGCAGGAGGGACCGACAGCGTCTTTGACCACTGGGGGCCGAAAGCGTCTTCGCCTCGCGAGGGCGCACGACGGACCGACAGCGTCTTTGACCAGCCACTGTCCCTCGAGCCTCGGACTGACCCGAGGCGCTGCCAGCGGCAGCATGGAGGCTACAGCAGGGGAGATGTCGATCCCTATGCCAGCCTTCGTGAGTTTTTCGAACGGACCATGCGGGCCCAACTCTGGGATACACGATGGGGGGGCGTTCGACTAGCTCTCTTGGGGTGTATCCCAGGGGGGTCCTTCTTTTTGTTGAGCGGCTCCATTTTTCGTCGAAAAGTCGGCGGTTGGGGGAAAATCGCCTGCGAGCATAGAGGAGGGCGCAGGAAGGGGGGGCGGGGCGGAGAGGGTGAGCTGGATGACCGGGGAGGCCCGGGGCTGCGGCAGCGCGGTACGCAGGGGCGAGAGTCGGGCCGAGACGAAGGGGAGCAGCTGGGAAACGAATGAGGTGGGAGACGGGATCAGTCCGTCGTACCGACCGCGCCAAAGTGCACAACAGCACCATGTAAACATCAGGCCCCATGTGATCGCAGGGACATCGAAATCACATCGCATCGAGCACGGCTACATCGATTTCGGGTCGACCTGGACCCTGGGAGGAGCGAGACGAGGGCGGAAGGGGGAAGGAGCATCATCCTCGTGACAATCATATTAAGGAGACCGGCGGAGTTGCAAGAGCGGAAGCAGAAGGGGGAAGATGAGTCAAGCCTTGAGGGGTGCGTAAACAGGAACGTCGGGGGGTGCAGATACAACGAAGCTGTCAAGAGCAGAGAGGTCGGCGTGCAGAACCGTCCAAGCACTCGAAGAATCTGGGGCGGGAGGCGCTTCACATCCCTCGAAGAACATCGGTACTTTCAGGGCAGCGGATCGGAGAGTGTGAAGCGTGGCGGCCTCCCACGAGTGAGACGTTGTTGCAGGTGGCGGCCGGGGCGACTCCGCCTGAGACTCGTTGACATTGTGCGAAGAGCTGAGCTGCTTGGTGCACCCAGAGAGCGGCCTGTGAGAGAGCACAATATTACCTGGGAAGGGCTCGCCAAACAACGATCTCGATAGCGGGGCCCAATACCGCGGACCCCCGCACCGCAGAACCTCCTTTCACCCACGTGCTCAGGGACAGACAGACACAAGGGCTGTCCCCAGAACGAAATTGTCATCCTGAGTAATTGTTGACGGTCCCGAAGTCCGTGAAGAACCCTGGGACCCGAAAACGGCCACAAACCTACAGATACCGTTTCCCTCAAAACCTCTGTCCTTCATGGCAGAATGAAAGGATGGGGCAAGAACATAGCTGTGCGGCGAGCGAAAGACCGACAATGGATAGGGCAAATGATGCAATTCCGACTTCCCAAAACATCCCAACCAACAATGGGGAGACAACAATGTCCATACCGCTACTCCCCCGACGGGCCCGAACCTGCCCCTGAATGCGTTCTAGCTAGTTCTCCAAGGCGAATCCAGCCGCGACGAGGGAGGTGTATCAAGACCAATACCTTCTCCTCCTCTGAAGCAGATGGCATGCCGCGCAGCCTCGTGGAGGCTGGCGCCACCCATCCACACGATGGCAAAGCAGAGCTGCACAATGCTGAAGAAGTTCCCGAAACAGCTCACGACGTGCGCCGCGCCGAGCACCTGTCGAGTTTGGCCCGGGCCGAAGCGCGTGGCACGCCATGCGATGTTCCCGCGGGTTCCGTCCCGCCTCCCCTCCCCTAAGAAGGAAAAGGGTGCACCACCTCCTGGTGGTGTGCTTCCGCCGCCCCCGCTCGAGATATCCCCTATCCTCAGCTCGCGGAAGCATCGTGGACTTCTTCAGTAGAATGGGCACCCTCGATGGTGGTGGTAACGCTTGTCTTTCCTCTGGCTTTCCCTCCACGGCAAGCTCGCGTCGGGACGAGTTGGCACGACAGATTCTGACACCGCGTGAACAATTCAGCCCTGAAAGATACAGTCATCGTCAATGGGCCCTGGAAGCGTCAACCAACGACTCAGGGTGAAAGGCTCGCCCTGGAGCAATCCCGTCAGAGCTAGGAGCTCCTTCCCTCGGGACCCTTCTCCTTCATGGCGATGTATGTGCCCCTGCTGCTCCTCAGACCGACCTCTTGATTCCGTGCCGCCTGCTGCGTCAACGCCGATGCACTTAGCGGAGCCAACCGCGAGGCCTCTGAAATGAGTGTTACACAGCTTCGGGCAAGCTGCATACACCGAACACTCACACAGACGCAATAACCGATACACGCATCCTTGAGATCGTTTGCGCATGCGTGGTCAATATACTCGGACATGTTTGTTGCATGCGCCGTAGCATAGGATGCGTCGTGAGCGCGTACGTAAAAATAGTCCAGCACACGTACAAACACACTTTGTTCGGATAATGCTGCACTTCGCGGGGAGCACATCAACTCAAATGGGTGTCACGCGCTGCGGCAACGAACACATGTTCCTGGGGCGCCTGCTGGCAAGATCTGTGCCTATCTGATGTCCCTACTGTGTTCATGCCCACCTCGTCGCCAACCACACGGCTCATCCCCGACTTGCTTGATGCCAACATCTATTTACACAATCGGCCGCCAGCTCTCGAAACCGTGACTGCTGCAAGCAATCGGGCGTGTTCTTGCGTCTTCTCGAACACCAATTCAGAATCACACACATACGACACCGAAGGACAATGCCAAACCCGCTATGTGCTAAGAACACCTCGTAAATTCTGACACGCCCCCCCCCGCCCGCAAGCCGAGTCCCTGCCTGGCCTTGCGATCAACCATTTTCTGATGCGCGCTGGATTAAGCTGTGAGCCACATTGTAAATCCTGTCTCCTTCCCTCCTCCGTCGCCTTCTCCTCAAGTGCCCGACTTCGGAAACCGTGGGCACGCAGCGTTGATCTCTCTTGGAGGTTCCGCCAGCTGCCGCCAGCGAAGCCGCCAAGTGTGTGTGCCTCCATCCCTTCGAGAAGTTCGCAAGCCAAGCGAAGTCGCAATCCTCCAAGAAACTCACAAGCCTGAATCAACGTACGAAGTCACTGACTCCGATTATCTTTTGGTACTCCTCCAGAAACGCGGACAATCAGGAGACAGCGGGCAATGGATTCCTCTTATCTGCACAGGTACGTACGAGCATCATCGGATTCAGAATAATGTCCTCGAGGGCGCTTGTGGTGAAGCTGAGCGCTTGCGGGGGGGCAAGGTCATGATTTTCAGAAGAATCTACGCCCCGCACAACGGCAAACCACGTGAGGCCAGGAGAGAATTCTACCAGTCTCTCGACACCCTTCTCCGAAACATCTCTGGACATGGACGGCCAATACTTCTCGGGGATTTCCATGCTAGGCTGCACAGGCAATTCCCGGGTGACTTACCACACAACGTTGGGCCGTACAGTATGTTTCCGGCTGCCCCTCTGCACAACATGATCCAAATTCTAATCGCAGTCTGCTGCTTGAACTGTGTGGGGCACATAGCAATCAACAATAGGTTCGTCGACCACGCGCAGGCCCAAATAACGTGCTACAACATCGAAGCCTTCTAATCCAGCTCGTCCAGAACATTTTGGCCAAGTCGATGTTCAAGATTGCACTGAGGGGCGGCAGACGTCTGTCAGGACATTCGTAGTCATAATGATGCGGCCCTTGCGTTGTACCATTTCCTGCTCCTCTGCTGCGTGCGCGTGGACGTTGAGAAAACTACCCAGGAGCGTAAAGAAAAGCTGGACTTACATGCGCTGTCTTGCAGCAACGTGGCGGGCGATGTTAAAACCGCATTGTCAAACAACGTGGCAAATTTAGATTCTGACCGGTGTACTTTGAATGAGCTGAACTGCCTTCAAACACGTCGCTGGCGAGTGACTGCCTACGCTTCCAGCAACTCACCATCGACCATGGATCAGCAATGCCACCCTGAAGCTGATCACGCGCAGAAGGAAAGCAAGGAGTTGCGATTTTGATAGAGAAAAGCGACTTCACTCAATGATCAAAGCATCGGTCAAAGCAGACAGAGGGAAGTGGCTCGACGATCTCCTCGCCTCTGGGGAGTGGGCCGAGATTCTGGAACTGCGGGCAGGGTCGGTGGCACGGCAGGGCCGCATAAAGGAGTCTTACGGAAGACTGGTTGACAGCGGGCGTTTGACAGCATCTCGCCAACCGCTCTGGTGCAGACGCTCGTCCGCTTCGTCATCCCTTTGCACTTCACCGAAGCAGTTCGGGCCATCTACGCGGACAGATCTTTTCGAGTAAAGGAGGCGGGCCAGACGTCCGAGCCATGGGCACAAGCCTTCCGCATCTCCAGAGGCTGCCCCCTACCGCCGTTCCTGTTCTCTATCGTCATGACGGTCCCCATGCACGATGCGAGCACAACTTTCCAAACACACGGGCTTACCCAAGACGCCCGCATACCCGTTAGCGAACTCATCTACGCCGACGGCACCCTAGTCGCTGGAGTCAGCGATGATTGTGTTCCAATGCTGATAGAGGCGATCCACTTAGCGGGGTCCAACTCCGGGCTTGCATTCAACTGGAGCAATCTGGAAGCCCAACCAGTATGTTCCGAGACAGCCTTGACAAAGCCCGACGGCGCGCCCATCCCGAGCTAGGACAGCATGGTCTTCCTATGAGGACTCTTGAGCTCCACGGGCCAGAGCGGGCCTGAACTTAGCAATCGGCTAGGCACGGCCAGCGCAGACTTTGAGACGTTGTGCAAAGTGTGGAAGCACGCGCGGCTGTCCGTCGACAAGAAGGTTTGCATTTCGTGACGCGTGTGTAGTATCTAAGTGGCTAGATTGTTTGCACACTGCTTGGTTTAGCAAAGCAGAGCGCACCAATAGTGATGTTTTCCAAGTGCGTTGCCTGCGGCAGATTTCGGACATCAGACACTCGTACATAAGCCGCATTACTCATGAAACGGTTTTACAATGATGTTGCGCTCAGAAGCTGAGCGACACACTGACGCGCAGGCAGCTGGAACTCATGGGACGACTTGCCTTGATGCCAGGGAACAGCCCCGTGCACAAATGCATGTTGCAGCATGGTACTTCCGAACTCGTGCAAGCAAGGGCTCGTTGGAGGGGTCGGCCCGACAACGCGGGGATGCTCCAGGTATACGGCCTTGCTTGTGAGACGGCAGGCGGCGAGGAAGCTGTGCACGCCTGGTGGTGGGGTAATATCTGGAGGATGATCTGGAGGAAGATCTGGAGGAAGATCTAGATAAGAGATCTCGGGAAGATCTGGGTGGATATCTGAGGGGAGACCTGGAAGCGATCTGGCGGAATTCTGGTGGAAGATTTGGAGAAAAATCTGCGGGAAGACCTGGATGAGAGATCTCGGGGACGATCTGGGTGAAGATCTGGGGGAAGATCTGGGAAAGATCTGGAGGACGATCTGGAGACACATCTGGAGGAGAGATCTTGAGGAAGATCTGGGTGAAGATCTGGTTGAAAATCTCGAGGAAAATCTGGAGAAGATTTTGGAGAAGATCTGGGGGAAGATCTGGAGAAACATCTGGTGGAGGATCTGGAGGAAAGATCTTGCGAAAAATCTGGGCGAAGATCTGGGTGAAGATCTAGGTGAAGATCTGGACGAAGATCTGGGGGCCGATCTGGAAGATCTGGAGGAGAGGTCTGGGGGAAGATCTAGACGAGAGATCTCGGGCAAACTCTGGGTGAAGATCTGGGTGAAGATCTGGGGGAAGATCTGGAGAAGATCTCGGGCAAATCTGGAGGAAGATCTGAAGAACGATCTGGGGGAAGTTCTGGAGGAGAGATCTTGGTGAAGATTTAGCTGAAGATCTGGGTGAAGATCTGGGGTAATACCTGAAAGAATATAGGAAGGAAGAACTGTGGGAAATCTGGGGGAAGATATCGGAACGTATCTTGAGGGAATATCTGGAGCAGGATTGGGCGGAACATCCGGAGGCAGCTCTGGGGAGAGATGTGGACGATGATCTGGAAGAAGATCTGGAAGCCCAGAGGAAGATCTGGGGGGACGAAATGAGGAACAAGTAGAAGACAGCCCAAAGGAAGGTCAGGATATACAAATGACGGAAGATCTGGGGGAAGATCTAGAGGAAGGATCTTGGGAAAGATCTGGAGGAAAGTCTGGGAAAAAATATATGACGACGTATCGGAGAAGATCTGGATGAATAAATTGAAAACAAAATGAAGATCTAGAGGAAGATCTGAGGAAGATCTAGAGGAAAATGCTGATCTGAATTAGGAAGATCTAGAGGAAGATCCGGAGGAAGATCTGGGGAACATCTGGGAAGATCTGGGGAAGATCTGAGAGAAGATCTGGAGGAAGGTCAAGGGAAGATCTGGGAAAGATCCAGGGAAAATCTGGAGGAAGGTTTGGGGAAGATCTGGAGGAATATCTGGAGGAAGATCCAGAGAAAATCTAAGAAGGTCAGGGGAAGATCTGGAGGATGATTGGGGGGGGATCTAGGGGGAGATCAAGAAGAGGGTCTCGAGGAAGATCTGGGAGAAGATCCAGAAGATCCGGAGGAAGATCAGGAAGAAGATGCCATCGTTAAGAAACTGGGCCAGCTTTTGGGAATTTGCTGCCGAAACTGAAACAATGGGACCCAGCTTGGCGGGAGGGAGTTTCTTAACATAAGATATCAGTGTGCGAGATCGATGATTCGGATGTTGATTTTGATGTGATTGTTTGAAAAGGAAATTCGAAAGCTCGCCCCCGACGCGTGCCCTCCAAGTGGTGTCGTCGCCCCCTCTTCCGCCATCCTGCGTTGCTCCTCTGCCTGCTCTCCCTCCTGCTCGTCCCTCGGGCTGTCGCCCGGGTTGTCGCCATCCTCTGCCTACCCCTCCTCTCGGCTGTCGTCCCCTGCCGCTTCCCCTCCTCCTCCCCCCGGCTCTGGGCTCGTCCTGGACCTCGGGTGTCGCTCCCTTTGCTGTTCTGGGTCGTCCACCTTGCGGGCAATTTTGTCGAAGGGGGTTATGCATGGCGAGATTTGTAAATTTTCCCTGTACTTGCGGCCAGCGACACAGGAGGCTACGCATCGCCAGTCGCAGTTTTTGTCACCCCTTCTGCCAATGCACATCTGACGTGCACGGCTTCTCTCTATCTCTTTTTTTTCTCTCTCTCTCTCTCTCTCATCGCCTTCTAGTGGCCTGCGCTGAGGGTAAGGTAACAACTTCTCGATTCCTCGAAGGCGGCGCCCTCTGTAGAGCGCCCTCATGCAAGCAAAGAGCCCACCGAGCACCTGGTACAGAGTCCGCGACTGCACCAAGGTCACAAGCCAGTTGATGCTGGCATCTCCCCGCCCCCCTCTTGCATCTTATCCCTGCGGGGTCCTCGTCACTCCATCCCGGTGGGGCGACCTTGCCTGGCCGACGAACCTGAAGGCTCCTCCTCCTGCTCCTCCCCCTTGGAGGCCTCTCAGCGATCTCTGGGATCCAGGACGTCGCGGTCTGCCGGAGGTCCCCAGAGGCCTCCAGCGTTCCCCCGATGCTCAAAGGTGTGCAGAAGATTTAGAATCTCGAGACCCTAACATTTCTTGGCGGCGCGCGCGGATCTTTTGGATCGGCGCTTGACCTTCCCTGGCAAAGGCGCTGCCGCAAGCGCACTTCGTGCACCAAGGAGGGGGTACCAACGCCGGTCTCAGAACTCCGCGCGGACCTCCAAAAATATACCGTAATACCCCGCAAATGCGGATAAGAGTGAGGGGGCGGCGGGGATGTCGGCAGTTTGCGAGACTCTGGAGAAGCCCGCCGCAGGCGCCCAAGTTTCACAAATTATACAATGAGCCCGCCGCAGGCGCCGATTTTTTCGCTAAGCCAATGTGGGTAGGTCGCGGGTGGGTCGCAAATGGGTCGCGGGTGGGTCGCGGGTGTAGAGAGCAGAAAATCCATCCCATACTAATCACCCCGACAAGCGAAGCCGTTTAGTAAACGCACACAAGGAATGAATCGAACAGGGCAGGGCTGCTTAGTAAACGCACAAGGCCGTTTAGTAAACGTCAGTTGTCGGATCTGGGTGGGTTCTTCTCCTTTGAGGGTGGGTCGCGGGGTGGATCGCGGGTGGATCGCGGAGTGGGTCGCGGGTGGGTCACGGATGGGTCGAGGATGGGTCGCGGGGTGGGTCGCGGGTGGGTCGCTGGGTGGGTCGCGGGTGGGTCGCGGGGTGGGTCGCGGGTGGGTCGCGGATTGGGTCGCGGGGTGGGTCGCTGGGTGGGGTGACGGGGTGGGTCGTGGGGTGGGTCGCGGGGTGGGTCGCGGGGTGGGTCGCGGGGTGGGTCGCGGCTGGGACGACCACAACAAACAACAACCACAACAACGACAACAACAAAAACGACAACAATAACCAAAACGCAACAAGCAGAATTTTCACCACAAATTACCTATTCAGCCACGCGCCCAGGGACAATGAATGACCGTTCGGCCCCCTCACTCTGATTTGTATGCCATTCGTTCATGTCCGACTCCTGCACAGTTCCCAGGCATCTCGCGACTCGAAGAAAGTAACGCCAGACTTTTGTTTGACATGTCTGGCCTCCGAAAAGCTCGCTTCTCGGGAGAAGGACCGTCAACACTATAATCTGGTAAAAAAAACCAGCCCTGGGAAAAGGGACCGGGAGGTCTGGGGGCCGACTTTTCGAATCAGCTGAGTCGCCCCAGGTCTGGGCCTCGGCCATCCTCCTAGCAAGAGTGATCAAACGAAAAAGAGGGACAATGACAAGAAGAGGTCGACTGCGGAGGTGGATGCAGACAAGGAGGAGAGAGAGGAATAGAGAGAGAGAGAGCGAGAAGGGGCAATCGGAGCGCGCAACTAACGACTGGCGCGCAAAAGCGCAGGCGGACAAAACAACGCGGCATTGGCAACAATCGCTGTGCGCACAGCGCGAGGACAAACATAATTCACTGACTCGCTACGGGCATGTTTTATTGCGCTCAACTTTCCCCAGCTGTGATCTTGATGGTTTGGCCGCCTCCGCCTCATCATAACCATCCGACCATGCCTCAAGTTCATCCTCCCTCCACGTTCGCCAGCTTCCTCCGTGCCAACCATCCCCCTGATTAGCAACTGCTTTGCGTTCCTCAAACCATGCTTGCGTTCTAAGCAACAATGGCCTGGCGTGGCGGAAGCGAGCCGTCGCGACCCCAGTTTGGATAAATGTTTGATGCTTGGGTTTGGGGGCGACGTGGGTCTGGACGTGGGCCTGCCAGCGGATTTGGACGCATGTTTGAGACGTGGGCCTGGACGGGGCTCCAGACGTCTATGGACGCGGATGTGCACGCGGGTGGTGACGCTGGTTGAGACACGTGATTGGAAGTGGGTTTGCACGTGGCGTTGGACATGTGATAGGACGTGCGTTGGGACGAGGGTTTGGACGAAGTTTGTACGCGGGTTTTGGTGCGGGTGTGCAATTGTTGTTTGACGTGGGGGTGGGCGTGTATATGGGTTTGGGTCTGGCTGCGAACTTCGGTGAGGACTTGGGCGCGGGCTTGGGCCGCACACGCACGCACATACATAGGGTTCAGGTGTGTTGCACAAGCGAACTGGCCTGGCCCACTCGCATGGATCATGTTCACGTGTACAGACAGAGGATTGTCGGAACAAGTGGTGCCGAGACTTCACCAACTGAACTAAGACCGATACCGATCTTAAGCAAAAGGTCTGGTGGCTTCACCCTTGGGGGGCCGTGCCCATGTGGGGGTCGAAAACGCGCATACACGAAAATCATATGATGCCCCAGCTATTTCCTCCTCTTCCTCCACATCCCCCTCCCATTCCTCCCTCTACGCCCCCGCTGTCCCTTCCCTTTCCTGACCTGAATCCCACCACCCCCGCTTTCATTTCCTTCCTCCATCCCCTTTTCCCTCGTCATCCTCATCATCTGCGTCACCCCGCTTTCCTCATCCCGCTTCCTGATTCCCCGCATACCCCCACAACTGTTTCTTAAATTTGTCCCCCTGCATGTTCCTCCATCATCCTTCCTCATTCCTCCTGCCGCAGTCTCCCCCCCCTCCTCCCCCCTCCTTCCTCGTCCGACCTCGTCCCCCAGGCCCCTCCTCCACCCGCGCCCCGCCTCCTGGGCCCGCGTTTTTTTTTTTGCATCCCCTTCTCCTGCAGTCGCATCCTCATCTACTACACTCCAGCTCTTCCTCCTCCTCCTCCCCTCCCCCCCACGCTTCCCCGTCCCCTCTTTTGCCTCAAATATCATGATCGTATTCCCCTTCATTCTCTCTCTCTCTCTCTCTTTCCCCCCTCGTTCCCTCCTCCCAGACCCTCGTCTCGTTCCTCCGCATCATCATTATGTTAAGTTTCCTCTGCGGTGGTGGTGATCCAACATTTGAAGGCGCGGGCATGCCCCCAATTGGGAAATCAGTTTCGAGTTTCGGTTTCTGCGTTCCCCACCCCACTCTGCTTATCAGCAGTTCGTTGTCTTGCGCCCAGGATTGATGAGGATAGGTGGGTGATGGCTTTCCCGTTGGCTTCAGCAGGTCCTCTCCCCAGCGGGGGGAAGAAGTCAGGCCTCCCCCCGAGCGCGCTACAAAGTCCCAGTCAGTGATGGCTGGCCACGCCCTTTTGTGGGCTGTCCACCCCTGCCAGTGGCGGTCCGTCACGTCTCCCCGCGATGTTTTGTCAACGGGGTTATCTTCGCTCGTCACGCGCTCGATCCAGGCGCGCAGCTCTCTCTCTCTCTCTCTCTCTCTCTCTCTCTCTCTCTCTCTCTCTATATATATATATATAATATATCGCGGAACATTTCCCATGTCCGGCGCGTGATCACATTGATGGACGTCACTGAGCTGCTGCCTTTGATGAGCGTGCTCTTGGCTGTCCCGTTGTCGATGAAGGCCAGCAACATGCCCCCTCGGAGCTCTGGCCATGTGTTTATCGCCAGCATGGGCCCTACTGCTTCGATGTCGTTGACGTCGACCTCTTAGTTGCCCTGCTTCCACGCCTCCCGCCACTCTGGCGGCACCCTGGTGCGGGCGACTCGCGGCGCCCAATCGCTCTGTCGGGGCCGCCGCCAGCCCGCCGCCACCCGGCCGGTTCCTTCACCATCCGCCACGATGAAGTGGGGGTCCATGCGTTCCGGCGAGCGCGGGATCGGTTTCCCTCCCGCGATTCCGAGCACGCGTGTCCAAAACAGCAGGGATGCCCGCAGCGCCGGGTTGCGTCGCAGGTGTTGCTCGTTGTGTTGCCGCTCTGCGAGGGGGCGGAGCGCCGCCGCTCCAAACCGCCCAAACTGGAACGAGCGCGCCCGCCCCAGTTGCCCTCGGAGCGCGCCTGCCTTTGCGCTCGTCATTGAACCGTTGTCGAGGTGGCCGTGCATCCGAGCGATGATCGCCTGCAGGTTGGCTGGGCGGAGGCAGCCATGGGGTTCGCCCGCGCCGAAGTAAGGCAGGCTTCCTGACAGCTTGAATGGATCTGCCGGTGGTGGGCTTTTCTCTATGAGGATGCGCAACCCTACCAGGGTGTTCAAGTCAATCCAGAGACGGTGCACTTGCTGTGCTAGTCTGGCCGGCTCCACTCCCCATTCGTCGTCCGCGTTATGGGAGACCGGCAGCATCAGCATGGATCTGCCGATCGCCACCATGACGGCTGGGTCCTGGACGTAGTTGAACTGCGACAACGCGCCTCCGAACGGCTGTCCGTTTACATCTACCACTCGGACCTTTTGTTCGTGTGGGTCCCACACAATCTCAAAGGTTAGATGCGTTTGGTCCGGGTCTTTTGGGCTCTGTCTGGCGAAAACCATCTCGTAGTCCACTCGGTATCCTATGAGCGGCACGCGGTCACCGCACGCTTCTTTCCATCATTTCGTGACGGCCCACAGCTGGATCAGGTCCTCTGGGGTATACCGTTGAGCCAAGTCGACTGTGTCGTTCCCGCCCGAGCGCTTGAAATCGCTGATGGGTCGGGCCGCCCACTCGCCAGTCTTCCTCAGCTCCCACTTGGGGAATCGCGCAGTAAGGCGGACTTCGTTCAAGTCGAATATCTCGAGGTCGCGGATGGTGGCGTGCCCTCGCTGGCCTTCTTTCCAAATATTGTCCCAGGATTTCCCGTGCAACTCCGGAACGCGATTTGCACTCACCGACCGTATCATCTCTACATTCCGGTCCTTTGGGTTCGCCGCCCAATCGGTCAACGATGCCATCGCCTGGGATTGCTGTGGCGGAAATAATCCTGTAGTCAGCATGCCTTTGCCGAGCATCGGGCGCCGCCGAATTAGCGACTTCATGTGTTCAGCCTATCATGTGCACCCTATGGCCTGGATGAATGCTTCCAGCAATGGCAGGTGCAAGTGTTCAATCACGCGTCGGACACGTGGATGCAACCCTTCCACGCACCGCGGCCTGCGCTCCTTGGGTGGGACAAGGCATTAATCAAACAGCCTTCCCAAAACAGACTCGTGCGAAATACTGTTTTTCTTAAGCTGTCCAGGGGCGCGTTCCCCCTCGCTCTTATCCGCAACCGCGAAAGTGAACCGTTTCGCACCTTGCGGGCGGCCCCAGGGCCCGCGGCATCAATCCTGACTCCCTCGTGTACCTATAAAGCCGTATCGGAAAATACGAACTCCCAGAATTTCGCATCCCGGACGCCCTCCGGATAAGCTCTCGGCGCGAGGCAGTTCAAACGGAGGCGAAGACGGAGAGGGTCCGGACCGCAACCAGACCTCTGCTTGAATTGGGTTCCTAAGCACTTTTCCGCCTCCAGAGGTGGTTCCCGAACCTCCTCGCTCCAGATCTCCTCTCATCGGGCGCCCGGGGCCGGTCAGGCGGCTCTCCCTCCAAGCGCCCATATGGAGCGGGGGCGGCACGGGAGGGGGGGGGGGGGGGGGGGGGGAGGGGGGGGGGGGGGGGGGGGGAGGGGGGGAGGGGAGGAGAGGGGCGGGAGATTGGACCAGCGCGCGGGGTTGAATGCGGAACCTGCCGCTAGCCGCTAGATGCTAGATCCCCCACAAGAATTGGCGCCGCCGCGACGCCCTTCCCGGGAGGGCGTGCCGGAGGCCGGCGGCCGGCTCCCTGATCGTCGTCGTCTTCGTCGCCGTCGTTGTCGTCACCGCGTCGTCGTCTCACCCCCCACACCTGCTTCCTTTTCCCTCGCATCCCCTCTCCCCCGGACACCTGCGCCCCCTGTGTCAAAGGACCGCGCCGCCGAAGCGCCCGAACCGTCTGGGGGGAAGTGCGGCGCAGGGGGAGGGGCGGAGGTGGCGAAGTCGCAGGCCCCCCTGGTATACTGGAAGGGGGAGGGTGGCGCGGCGCTGCCCTACGAGGGGGGCGGAAAACGGCGGCGTGCCCTTTGAGGCACGCGGGAGTGGAGGGAAAGCGGGTGTTTGGTTGTTGCGGCTGCCCGCCTCTATTTCTGTGTATATATAAATATATGTATATATGTATGAGTATATGTGTATATATATATATATATATGTGTGTGTGCGTACGTGTGCGCGTGCGCGTGTGTTTTTGTTTGTGTGTATAAAAATGCATGTCCCCCTTTTCCCCCTGCCCTGTGGGCGTTGCCGTTCCATTGTCTCCTCCCTTCATAGTGCTCATTCCCCCCCTTCCCTTCAGTTTCGTTTCCCCGTCGGTGCCCTGGCGGGCCGTTCCTCGAGGTCCTGGGCGAGTTGCCGGATGTCCTTCATGATGCTATCCCGGAGGACCGCTGGCGGCGATGAACTCCATCGCGATCGCTAAGCGCTGCGGTAGGGGAGGCGGCGCCTCCAGCGGGCGTTTCACCGGGGCCATGTCGGCGAGAAACGACTGCGGCCCAGCTCCGCCAGGGACTAAGGGCCGCCGCGCCTGCCCCGTCGGTTGATCGCCCGCGGCAGCAACGCGGGCCAGCCTGGCTGGGCCCCGGCCGCGCGAGGGCACTGCCGTTGCCGCGCCGCCGGTCTCTGAATCAGCGGTGCCACTGCTGCCATGAGAGCAATCAGCTGTCAACTTCCCTGGGTTTGACTTCCCACGGGTAGCATTATTCGCTGCCTGCTCACGCCTGGCCCCAAGGATACTCCGCACCGCTTGGCACGTTGCCGCGGGCCCCGGGCTGCGTGGCAGCCCCGCTCAGTTCCGCTTCGGCGGGTGGGCGGGGTGGTTGTCGCAGCGGGCGCGCCGCTCGTGGCAACCCGGATAGTTGCAGGCGTGTTCCCGCTTGCACTTGGGGCCCTCGCGCCCGCAGCCTTGTTGTAGAACGCGCAAATCTCGGCCCCGCTAGGTGTTTTCTTCTGGGGCATGAAGGGTTTGTCGCCCGTCTCTGCCCGCTGGCTGCGGCTCCGGCCGCGGCTCTGGCACGGTTGGTTGTTCTGGTAGCCCTTGGCCGAGCTGGCGCGGCTCTGGTTGTTGTCCTCGCTCCGCTCATAATGTCCGTGGGTGTTGGTCGTCTTGCTGACATCCTGGAAGAGGTAGGCGCTCTCGTGCCCGTGGTGTTGGATAGCTGCCGCGAGCGTCGGATGCTCCTCGGCGCTGTTCCCGAGCGTCCAGTTGGCCCTCATCTCGAAGTCCGCGTCGATCAAGCGCTTGATCTTCTCGCGGGCGCAGTCGCCGTCGCAAGCCTTCTTCATGACCCAATCGCGGCAGTGTAGGAGCGTCGCGAGGCTGATTTTCCCCCGGTCGGGGCCCGCAGCGCGCGCGTAGCCCGCCATGAGCAGCATGTGCCAGCGGACCAACTGAATGAGCCCCCCCAATGGCTTCACATCTTTTGGGGCCCCCGAAAGGCCCCCGACATGCCGCATGCCCGGTGTTCGTGGGCATCTCAAGCAAGACATTGCCTTCGCGGGCTGGCCCTTTCCCCATCAGGTTTCGGATATCTCGGGGGGCGCAGCGAGTCTTCTTGGTGAACATTTTCATGAGGCGCCCCATGGTCGCATCGTCTACCAGCATCGTCTGAGGCCACTGGAAGCTGTAGTGCTGCGCCACGTTCTTGTCGAGGCGCTTCCTGTCCTCGGGCGCCAGGGCCGCCTTGCGGTCGATGCCTTCGCGGCGGGACCTCGCGTCGCCCTCGGCCTCTGTGATGGACAGGGCGCGCCTGTTGGTGGCCATGACCGGCTGGCACTTCACAAGGTCGTTCACGTCGATGGTCGCGCCAGCCTTGTGGCCAAGTCTGAGAAGGCCAGGAACTGGGCGATCTGTTGCGCGCGCCACTGCGCGACCTCCGGCTGGACAAGACATTCCCCCAATAGGTTCCGGAGGTTGATGTCCAGCTGGCGGCCGAGAGCGTCGCCGTAGCTGGCCGCGCTGCCTTGCTTGCCCACCCCGCGCCGCGCGGGCGGATCAAGCAGCGCCGGCGGTTGGTTCGAGCCTCAGGGGCCGCGCTGCGGGCGCAGTTATATGCTGCCTCTCGCTGCGGTCTGCCCTGTGGCCCCTCCGTCCTGGCGCCCCCCCCCCCCCCCCCCCCCCCCCCCCCCCTCCGCCCCCCCCTAACCCCTGCTGCTACACCTGAGCCATGCTCCTTATTGCCCATCGAGCAGAGGGGAGAAAGGAGGTCAAGGGGTGAGGGGCGGGATGAGTTTCGCGCGCCAATTTGCGCTAGGGCCCTGCAGCGCCACTGCTGTCAATGTCAGAGGGCGCGGCCCCACCCTCAGATCCGCTGCAGTCCCCTGGCGAGCTACAATGAGGCATGTCCACGGCCTCCGCTTTCCCAAAACAGCTGGCGCAGAATGCTGCGTCAAACTCGCTGCCGGAGGTGACCGGCCTATAGTGCCCGTGGCCTTCGTAACTGCGCACATGCGGGCATGGGCTGCGATTCGCCAGAGACGGGTGCTTCCTGTGCGGCATGGCCGACCGCGCGTGCAATATCCGTTCTGGGTCTCTGTCCCGGTCGTCGCCCTGGTGCCCGGCGCATGCCTCGGCGGCCCCCGCGTCTTGCCAAGGGCCGCTTTGCGGCCCCCTTGGGTGCCCTCGGTCAGCTGCCCGGGCGGCGGGCGCGCGTCGCGCGGCCCGCCGAGTTGAAGCACTTCGAAGCCTCCGGCTGGCGGGAACCCGTTCCGGAGCGCCTGCAAGACCTGCGCATTCACCAGCAGATGGGAGCAGCACATGGCCTAGTCGCATTGCAAAGGGACCAAGCGTCCGTCCGCCCAGTGACCGACAGCTGCAACCTGCCCCCTGGCGCCGCCAATCTGCCGGACCACCGCCGGCATGTAGAAGCGCGGCGAATGGGGGGCGCGCACCCGCGGTGCGTCTTGCACCCCTGCCTTGCGGAGGACCACCTGCGAGCGCGCAAGCAGTCGTACATGGCAGGGGCCTTTCCTCAAGGGGGCAGCTCTTTCAAGTCTGCCCTCCCCAGGGTACTCCACCGCCGGCCAGAGCCATTTCCGCGCTTGGCCCGGGTCGCTTTCTGGAGTCAGGGCGTTGGTCAGCTCGCGCCATGCACCGCCCCAGTCGCGGCCGCCAGCGTCGCGCCGAAACGCCGCCCACGGGGTCGGCGTTGTTTTCCGTTTTCATGCGGTACGACGCGCCGCGCAGCGCATCCCGCGCGAGCCCGAGGTTCCACGATCTGTGGAGGCCCCCCCGGCGGAGCACAGCGCTGGCGAGGCAGATGTAGAAACCTGTGATCCATCGTTCTGCCCCTTGTGCCCGCCAGGAGAGGTCATGGAGCTTGTCCACTACCAGCTGTGTGAACGGTTCCGCCTGCACTCTCGTGGCGGCTGCCGATCCGTGCGCTTCTGTCACGGCTGTCAATGCCAGGTCGTCCTGCAGCGGCCACCCCATCTGGATTGCGTTGTCAAGCCAGCGGAGCGCCAGAAACATAGCGCCGGGCACAGAATGTCCCCGCTCCTTCTGCTCGTCCTGGTGCACCTTGACGTCGACTTCATCACACTTGCAACCTGGCGGCCGCGCGACTGAAGCCACGCCATGAATCGCTGGACTTGCCGGGAGTGCTGTCTGACCGTGCTCGCCAATTGCGCCCTAGCAGCTCGGTCACTAGCCTGCGCTGAATCAAAGAGATGCAGACATGCCCTCAGCGCCGTCTCGTGCTCGTGCGCGCCCAGGCACTCCTGGTCGCGCTGCTGCTCTGCTCGCGGGCGCGAGCTTTTGAAGGGGCGTTGTGCTCCCGGTGCCGGCAGCGTGCACAAGTTTTCAAACGTGCGCAGCGGTGCCGCCTCTTTGAGGTCGGCCGTGGCATGTTTCCTTCGGACTTTTGCCACGTGCTTGATGGCGAGGTACGCCTGCTCTGCCAGATCCAGAGTCTGGTCGAAAAAGCCTGCCGCTGGTCGCAGGGGGTCTGTTTCGAGGTCTGGTTCCCCAAGCTCGTCTGCTAGGATTTCCAGCACCAACAGTGAGGTTACATGAATCGCCCTCAGCCATTCTCGCACGGCGCTGGCGGAATCGCCAGATGCAGCGCAATATGTCTCCACTGCGTCTTCGGGGCGCGGCGTCGGAGGCGCCAGCGGGGCGCGCAGGCCCTCGTCCTCGCTCTGCTCGAGAACGGGGTGGGGATTATCCATCGAAGCTGTCTCTTTGTTCCTACTGCCTCCCACAGTGGCCGCAGGGCCACGGGACGGAGGCGCGGGTTCAGCAGCATTTGCGCCGAACCGCGTCCCCCACGCCCGTTTGGCGGTGCGCGGTGGTGCGGGTTTTTGTTTGGCCCCCACCTCGTTGTCCATCGCGGCTGCTGTTCGCTGGCCGTCAGACGAAGGTGGGGGGGCAGATGAATATTTTCCCCGTTCCTGTCCCGCGGGCCCGCTTAGCGGTGCCCGGTGGTGGGTCTGTTGGGGGTGGGGGTTGGTTTCTTTGTGCCTCTGCTGCTGGTTTCGCTTGAGCCGGAGGCTACGGTTGCCTGGCCCTCTATCTTTCGCGTCGCAAGCTTCCTGCCACCCCTCTCGCGCCTGCAACTACGGCCAAGTAGGGGGGGGGTCATCCCGCTTGCACGTCAAATCCGCCGAATGGCCAGGCGCCCCAGGCAACTCTCGAGAGGCGCGGCTGCAGTGACAGGTCCCGCCATCCCCATGAGACTTAATCTCTCCTAGGCCGTGTCCCCCCAAACCTGGTAGGAAGACGTATAAACTTGCTGCCTGTCCGTAGTCCTCCAGTATGATCCCTCTTCTCTCTCCCCTCGTCCCTCTCCTTCTCCCCTATCACACGCCTGTTTCTTCCTCCGAGCTCATGCCGCATGCCCTCCCGAAGACTACCCCACCTAATTATCCGATTGGCCTCCCCCCCTGACACCATGAATGTTCATCGGGAGGCCCTGGCAACCGTCGTCCAGCTTGACGGCGCGCACCTCGGGATTGGGGACTTCTGCCGGCACCGACCCGAGTGCCGACAGCTGCCGCGGGCTCAAAGTCAGATGCTGCGGGGACAGAGGAGAGGGCGTTGTGTGCCTGCGATGATCCAGCCACGGGCCGGCTTGCATTCAAGAGCAGGCCAGAACACAACCAGAAAAAGAGAAAGCGAGAGAAAGAGAGAGAGAGAAAGAGCGAAAGAGGGATAAAGAGAGAGAGAGAGTGAGAAAAAGAGCGAGAGAGAGAGAGAGAGCGCGCGCGCAAATGCCATAGCGCAGCGCTGTGCGTGCATGGACGACATATGCCACGGTCGACCATGTTCCCCCATCCTCACTCCTGCCTACCCCTCCCTTCTGATTACTCCCTCATCCCTTCGTCCCTAATCCCTACCTCCCGAACACGACCGTGGCCGCGAAGAGTCTTGGAAACCTCCGAGAGCTTCCTGGCACTGTTACGTGTGAAGCCCTCCCGACCGGGAGGAGAGGCAGAGAGGCGGAACAGGAGGAGGAGACGAGGGCGCCAAGGCTGGACCCAGAACCGTCCGCATCTCGGCTTGATTGTCAGGCCCGCGGGGGCTCGAGAGGCGACGCATGAACAAGAAAATGGCTCGAGACAAGAAAACCTCGCAGGCATCAGTGATCGGCCAGCGGCGGGGGCCCTGGTTGGACCCCCCCCCCCAGGGCTTGGAACAGTGGCGCAGTGTCTGAAGCCGTCCTGCCGTGGCGCGCCCCTGGGCCCCGAGCATCAGCCTTGTTACAACTGCCGCCCCGCGACGTACGAGCCGCCAGGGCCCCGACCGTCACCGCCGGACGCCTCCCCCCCCGCCGGGCGCGGGCCTCCCAGGAAGGGGTTGATGAAAAAAGCAGCCAGAGCCAGACGCAAGCATCATGGAACCACATGGAGAGCAAAAACAAAAACGACCCGGCCCGAAAGAAATCCGAGTGACATGCTATGTCTACTCCGCAATACACAGGCACAGTCCGAACGGCCCCTCGAACGTCCAATGATATCACTACTTGAATCACAACTTAATCACCACATGTGTCACGGCACTCGTCTGCCGAGCATTAAACAGGCCCGACACGCCCATCTCGCCGAAGAGATGCACCCTGACCACCAGCACATTCAAGACTCAGCCAGTCGCTGCTTACAGCAATTCCCGCGCATGGACCCCAAGCAGTGATTAGAAGGCCTGGCCGGAGGAAGCGCTCGGAGACTACCAAGAGGCCATGTGAGGCCGTAGGGCTCATACGAGCCCGCAGGAAACGCGGGCGTCGCATGTTGCTTCGGCGTCAACGCAGATGTCGCACGCTACACTAGCCAATGTTCATTAAAAAGCCACATAATGCAAATCGCAGAATCACATGGACATCACTCTGGGGATGCGTCAGCTTGACGATTGAGGAAGGAGAGGGAAGCCAAGCATTGGGCCACACCGGATTGTCGGAATGCCGGAATCGAAAGGGATCGGGCTGGCCAGAGCCGATGTCGAACCAGACCGACCGGACCGAGACCCTGAGCGAGGAGGGTCTTCCTGGTGGTGCGGTTCCCCCCCTCGCTCGAGGCATTCCCCACCCCCATCTCGGGCAGGCATCGTGGTCCTCCTCGCTGAGGTGGCCCCCCTGGTAATAGCGGTGTCGCTTCTCATTCCTTCGACGGGGGGCGCACCAGGAACATAGCCGTGCTGGCCAGCCACCACACCAGCCCGGACAGGAGCGCCAGCTGCTCGGCCTCGCGGCACGGCGTGCAGGCACGAACGGCTCTCGCAAGGCGCGCGGAGGACGCGCAGCAGTCCCGCAGTGAGGACGGGGGCGCGCGTGGGGCGAGGAGGCGAGGAACAGTCAGCATCGAATCACGGAGGCGAAGATCAATCAACACCGAATCGGAAAATCGGATCGGATCGGAACGCGAGCGGGGCCGAGCCGCATCGGCACGGCTTGGCGGCGCCAGTATGCATGACTCGTACCGCGTCCCCTCGCTGCAACATCGGAATATGATCTGATCGAGCCCAGCGAACTCGAAATCGAATTGGAATTGGGCCTGGGCGGAGAGGATGGCTTAAGTCAGGTTCGTGTCGTGACGACCCACGCGTTGGCTTCTGGTCCCGAGCGGATTATCAATTCTTGAGCGATGACGGTGTCCCGATGGCACGGATCGCTTGATGTCGGCCCGGCGTTCAACCTAGAACGACGCCCACGCAGCTGGCATCGCCACCGCGTCAACAAGACACGAACCCACCGTGCTCAGGTCCCCTCGCGTCGCGTCGCGAACGCGGGCGCTGGCTGAACTTCACCACGCGTGATGGCACAAACTGGCCTTCGAAGAATTGCCCAGGCCAGCCCTCCGGCCAGCCATATGGCCAACCCCGCCAGCCAACGCTGGTCAGGGTATATACGTTATCGTTCCCCCCTTCTGTACTGATGGGACGGAGAGTCAAGAGAGAATTAACCTGACCGCCCTACATAACGATGATGAGGAGAGCACGTGCCTGCAAGGCGCCACAAGCAACACAAAATTCACTGCGCGAGTATCACCACATTTATGGGCGCATTTGTTTTCTTGAAGTATCTCGCAGACTGCATGTGTATGATGGGTCCGAAGACGACGAGTCGGTTTCTCGAGTCTGAATGATGAGGAGTATGAATGAATCGGGGGGCGAAAAGGTCGGATGTTAGCATCTATGAGTATGAGCTTGGGGGTGGAGTGCGCTTGTCACCTCAAATTTCTGTTCGCATGCATTGGTATGTTACCGATAGCGAACGCAAGCATCCTCCAAGTAAAACACTTGTCCAACATTGTGCGATCAACTACTATGTTGCGCCACTCGCATGTTTGTACACTTGTGACGCATCTGCATCGACGCTTCGCTCGCACGCACAGTATTGCATTCATACCGAAAGCCACAACTCCCCTCCCAGAAAGTAATGTCGTGTTTTCCAGAACTCTGTGTTCAAGCGTTCCTACTGCGCCCCCCACATGTTTCACAAGTGCGACACAGCTGCGGCGACGCTGTTGTTCTTTGCGCGCCTCCCTTTTCCCTCGGCCCGTCGCCGCTCCCCCCGCTTTCACAGGGCCTTCCTCCCCGAGCGCGCCAGCCGCGGCGAAATTGAGCAACGCTGTATGTGAGTCGAAGGGAAGCCCCTTGTTTTTGATCCCTTCCCCGCCGGGGGGGGGGGGGTCCCGGGGGGGGAGGTCGCCACCCAGATACGTTTCCCCCCTTGAGCAGTTGCCGTTCGGTGAGTTTGACAGGGATTGGGAGGCCCAACCAGCAGCTTCGCCTTAGGCGAAGCCAAGCTCCAGCTCTGCTGTGCCGCAGTAGCGATAGTCCCAGTGGTAGGAGGCGAGCCATCTCAAGCAGTTTTGGTATCGATGGCAACTAGTACACCTCGCGCTGAGGTGTAGTCAGATCTGGGCGGCCGGCCGCTTTGAGCCAAGCAGCCGCAGATGCACGCTCGTTCCCGCTCACATGCAACACCCAGCTCACTTTAGAGTCGGGGGGGGAAGAGGGCGAAGCGTGAACCCGCCGCCTCTATACAGCAGTTACAGCAGCGACTATTTACAAAAGGGGCAGCAAAAGGGCGGGGCCGTAAGGAAGGTGGACCCGCACGCAAGTTGCCTTGCCTGCACTATACTGTGCATACGAGTACTCCTCAGGCGGCTACAGAACGAGATGTCTGGCCAGCCCGATAGGGGGCATGACGCTTTAAGTCATGTTTGAAGCCTGGGTGATTAATGCATGCGCCAACGCGCCTCTGAGGCTGGCAAACATGTCTGCAGCCATCTTGGATGCTCGGGCGTCGGCGCCGGCGCCAGTAAGTTCAGGATGTTGTATATGACGGAACTGATTGATGGATTCGTCTTGGTCCAAAGTAACACTGCCGTCCTTCTCCTTGGTAGATATCACAACACAATTGGTGCATGCGTGCTTGTTGAGTTTACACTTACAACAAGTGTCTTCTACGCACTTGACGCGCTTGTCAATGGTGTCATATGTGTCGGCCATATGAATGTCATCAACATGTTTGGCCGTGAGCAGGATGGTGCTCGTCTCGAACTCCTCGTCGTAGGACGTGGGTATGATACCGAAACCTCTCGTGGTTCTGCTGAGCTTTCGTGAGAAAGCTCGAGGTGCGTCCTTGGTGCCAGTGCCTGGCTTAAGGCACTGAAAGCAGTGCGTCGACGCGTCGCAGTGTTCGAACCCCGGGGGAATTCGATGCACCGCAGCCGATCCAGGCGGCAGAGTAAAACACACCACGCGTTCCTTTGTCACCAGTTGCCTCAGCAAGTTCCTGGTGGGCCAACCCATTCAGGAAGGCCATGGTGATGTCGAGGGAAGCAACGATCCATTGCTTATTGCACGCTGCCACGCTCGCGAGTAGTCTCTGGCTTGACCGACGCGCTGCCCCCTAAAAGGTTTCCACGTCAACAGCTTCAAGGCCCATGAAGCCCCGAAGCACCAAGCGCAATCTGATGGCACGTTCCATTTCGCCCTTCTCGTTCTTCACAACTTCCATGTGTGCGCATACCTGGAAGCCAAGAAGTTTGACGCTTTAAGTATATATTGCATTTTGAAGCGCTCGTTGTCAAACCATGTCTTGAGTTCAGTGTAGGAGGCTTCAAATACTTTCTCGGGGTTCGCCTGGGCGTCAGCCTTCGCGAGGAGGTCGTCTTCCATGACGGCCGCTGCACACTTTGCAGCGGCGGTGACCTATACTCGCATGGTGGTCACGCGGCCGGCATCTAATATCCTGTGCTGTTGTTCGGACAGGACTACATGTGATATTTCTGCCGTGAAGCAGAGTTCCCCATATTGCCCATTTTTGTCTGAGCCCAGTCCGTAACTGCAATCTTCGACCGTGGAACACAATGGGACATGATACGTCTCCTCGATGTCGGAGTCGCGTGGGTGTCCCCACTTAGGCAGGTGCCCTCGCTGTTCTTCAGCTACAGTGACCAGCGCACTGTCGTCTGGAATCATCTGCGTGGGTACTGTGAAAATATGCTCTAGTAGAGTTGCCTCAACTGGCTTGATTTAGGGGTGGGTTTTCGGACTCAACCGACTCAACCTGTTTTTGCATCATCGTCATCATCATCGCCATCATCGTCGTCATGATATTCATCATCGTCCGCGTCGTCGCCATCATCCTCACCATCTCCTCATCATCGTCATCATCATAATATCCATCATCATCTCCTCGTCATCGTCATCATCATGTGGTGATGATGATGATTAATTCAAGAACCGCATGAAAATGATGGCGGTGTGGACATGTCGATGCTGATGGTGATGATGATGACGATGATGATGAAGCCGATGATTGCGATGATGATGGCGATTAAGATGATGATGCTGATGATGATGAGGATGACGATAACCTTCTTTCGGACTGCGCGGGCCGTGCTGAGTACTAATCGGAGAGCCCCACAGCCTCCGTGGAAGCGGGCCACCGCATTTCGCCAAGCACCTCCGCGAGGTCGGGCAGCGCCACGGGGACCCGTGCCAGGTGATCGGCCACGACGTGGTTCACGACGTTGAAGAACTCCTTCGGGCCAGGCGTGGCGTCGATCCTGCGCGCCCTGAACTCCCGAAAGACGTCGGAGCGGATCATGACGGCGATCTGCAGCCTGCTGTCGTCTACGCGCTGTTGCAGCTCGTGGTGGGTCGCGAAACAGTCCTGGCAGTCCGCGGAGGCGTGGTGGTGCACGTTGTGCTCGAGGGAAGACAGGGTGCCCATGTAGAAGGACCCAGGCTTTTGCTCGAGGGTGACGACCCTTCCGCAGGAGGCTGTGCTCGAGGGTGACGCCCCATCATGTGCTCCCAGGACCCCTGGGATCCTCACTTGCACGGAGCGCGTCCCGAAAATCGTCACGGCCGCGTGCAACAGGGAGCATCCGCCATCTGTGTGCCAACCATCGTCCCGTGCGCCTGGTTGCATGAGCTGGATCGATGCGTACGCGAACGCATTGTCGGCGAAGTGCTATGTCATGATGGGCTTTCCGTTCTGCTCGACGATGGCAGGTGGCATGCCGTCGGCGTTGACAACGACGCGCATTTTGTCTCCCAGCTGTTGCAGCCACGGGCGCATCTTCTTCCGCAGCGCTCGCACGAAGGCGGCCATGTGGGGCGAGGGGATGATCTGCAAATTCCCGCCCTTGTTGAGGCTGCGGCTCTTCGAAGGGCTTTCGTCGTCCACGATGCCTGCGACCCCTCTTTTCAAGCCCTTTGCCGCCTCGTCGCCGCGGACGCATTTGGCGACGGTTGCTCCCGTGCCCATGCGCTCCTCGGCCAAGTTCTGCCAGCGCGGGTCTCTCTGCAAGAAGCGGAGCACGTCTGTGTCCAGCTCCGCCTCCGCCATCGTGCCCGTGCCGTTTTTTCCTGCGCCATGGAGATGCGCACGTCGAGCTGGGCGCCAGCCAGCTGCAGGAAGCGACGAGCCCTTAGACGACTGATTGTCGCTCTGGCGCCAGGGTGCCAAAGCAGGCAGCTCTCGGCGGCCTTCAACAAGTCTGGGGGGGCAGTCTGCAAGTTCCTCAACGGGCCAGCGCCCTCGGCCGTCGAGCGCCTTCGCTGTTTCAGCCTTTAGCCAATCCTCGCCCGACCGCTTGAACCACTTCTCAAAGACAGGCAGGTTTTCCAGCCACGGGGCGGGTCCCTGGTCCTCGTAATTGTAGAAGTCTCCCGGCCCTGGCTCCTTGCCTGGGATCCCCAAGACCTCCCTGCAGAAAACCACTAAGTCTTTCGGGTCCCCCCCCCCCCCCCTGGATGCCCGAGCGCGCCGCAAGGCTCTGGTTGGAACAACACCTTGCGCGTGTGCAACTCCGCCATCAGGCACACGATGGGCCACGTGCCCAGGTCCTCTGAGTAGCGCTGGTTCCCCAAGAAAACGTCTACCGCTCTGTGAGCGGGCGTGCGTACTCCGAGGTCATCGCAGGTCGGGCTGTAGCGCAGTTTCTTCTTCAACCTGCCGTGGGGATCCGCCATCTCCACGCGGCCGAGGTCGGCGAGCACCACCTGCGGAGATGGGCGGATGGAGGAGAGGGGAGCGACGGCGACTGAGCTCCCCCTGGAGGGAAGGGCGGGATAGAGGGCACGACGACGGCATCTCGGGGGAAGGGTGGAACCTCCCTTGTAAGAACTCGGTGTGAGACCTAACATGAAGGCTAGTGAGATAAGCTGAGCTCTGACCTCGTCTATGAGGGCGTCGTCGGAGATCTAACATGCTATGTTAGAGCTCCATGGGAGCTCTAACGCGCTATGTTAGAGCCCCATCGGAGCTCTCACATGCTATGTTAGAGCTCCCTGGGGAGATCTGGCATGCTAGGTTAGAGCTCCCATGGAGCTCTAACATGGCATGTTAGAACTCCATGGGGGCCCTGACAACTCGGGATCTTAGTCGAAGGAACGACGACGATGACGAGGATGACGACGACGACGGCGAGGATGACGAGGATGACGATGATGACGAGGAATGACGAGGACGACGACGACGTGGAGGACGACGACGAGGACGACGAGGATGACGAGGATGACGAGGACGACGAGGACGACGACGACGAGGACGAGGAGGACGACGACGAGGACGACGAGGACGACGAGGACGGCGAGGGCGACGAGGACGACGAGGACGAGGAGGACGAGCAGGAGGAGGACGACGACGACGACGGCGACGACGACGGCGACGACGACGTCGACGACGAGCGCCTCGAAGGAACCCGGGATCTGCCAGTCGAACTGCAGCTTGCTCTTTGGGCACGGCGCGACGGGATCCCATTCGCCAAGCTCACGTGATACAAGTGCCTGCTTCTCGAAGCAGCCGCGCGTCTGCGATCCTCGCATCAGGATGTTTGCGGGCTTGATGTCGCATTGAAGGGGGCCCCTGTCGCGCATGTACTGGAGCCCTTCGAGAACGCTGTTCAGGACGCGGCGCATCCCTGTCTGCGCGGCGGAGGACTTCTCGAGGAATTGGCGGACATCGATCTCGAACAACTCGTACACGAGGCCGATGTGCTCCGTCCATTTCCAATCTATCCTTGGCACTGACTGTTGCAATTCTCGGTGCGTTTTCTTCGGGGCTGTTGCAGCTCCTGGGCACAACCCCCTGAAAAGGCCCACGTCGAGTAAGCGAACGAGACGCGGGTGCGTGCCCGCAGCACCGTGGCGCGTGACCTCATCCAAAGCCCCTCCGACGGCATCCGTATTGAACCCCTTCTGCGCATCGCTGGGGTCGCCCCGCAGCATCTTGATCGCATGGCCAGTCTTGTCGCCCCGTCGCGTGCCCAAGTAGACCTTGCCGAAAGAGCCCTGACCGAGCTCCCCTCCTTCCCACTGCACGTCGTACTCGAGCGGCAGGTCCTCGCACTTGCCATTCTGTTTGTTTTGGTACGCGTGCCCGACCGCGTCGAGCTTCAGTGCAAGTAGATTCACACGACCCTCGTCGTGGGACACCGCTCTCGGACCAGCAGACCCGCGACGAGCAGCTGCCGGTGGCGCAGGCTCCGATACCCCGTCCGCGGCGGGAACGAGCACCTTCCCCAGCGCGTCCTCTAGGGTTTCTCCTGCGACACTGTGGCCCTCGGCGACAGCTGGCTCATCTTCTGCAGCGTTAGCTGTTCCAACCCATTTCGCGCACCCTGGCACCCCCGCAGGCTTGCTCACATACTCTTTCCAGTTGGCGCCCATCGCAATCTTGAGGAGCCGCGTGCAGGTGCCATGCGAAACTGGCTTTGGCCACGTCAACACACATTTGTTCTTCGTTACCTTCTCCAGCGTCACTTTTGCGGTCGGGGCCCCTTTTGCCACCCTGGCCTTGCCATTGCTGCAGGTCCCCCTCAGCTTCTTGTTGATCTTGTCGTTGGTCGACGAGTCACCCTGCAGGTAACAGCCCCACTTATAGAAGAGAACCTTGTTCCTGTCGCGACCGCTGCCGCCCGAGGCAGCCATCGCCGCGGAGGCCCGCTGACGGCAGTGTCGTCCCTGCGGGCCCGCCAAGTTTCAGTGAACCGAGACGCCTGCGGGCCCCCCCTCCGTCCTCCTCCTCCCCCTTGCGGCCGCTCCTCGGAGCGTTGCCCCCCGTGTCTTCCCTGCCCTGCTGCGCCCCCATCCTGGCCCGCCCCTACAGAGCGCCGTAAGGATGCAAGGGCCTTGGCGGCATGGTATCTGTTGTTTATCCAGCTCCCCAGCTTCGGAACGGAAAGCGTAGGATGCAAGGGTACCCTTTGGAAAGGTAAGCATCCTGACTATGCGCCCTGCCTGCGCCGTGGGCCAAGTGCGACGGATGGCGACGAAGGGATGACGGAGGACTATGTTCCTATCTGTACGAAAGGTGCCGTGCGCTGCACAGGGCAGAACGCGGCGCGCGCCCCATTGCGAGAACGGGGGCGACGCCGCCAGCGCGCGACTGATGCAGCCCACAATTAAACAAGTGGCATCTCCACGGGAACAGGAGCGCGCGGGCTGGCTCCTGCGTCGGAGCTGTCGAGTTCTGTTGCAGCCTGTGCTCAAGCCTGTGCTCTGTTTCAGCCTGTCTTCGGCTTCCTCTTCTTCGAGGCCGAGGAGTCGTCTGAGGGCGAGGAGTCTGAGGTCGAGGACGCGTCGGCGTTGCGCTGCTTACCCTTCCTACCCTTCTTATGTTCATCCTTCTTGTCCGTCTTCTTATTCTCCGTCTTGTCCTTCTTCTTGTCCTCCTTCTTGCCCTCCTTCTTGTTGCCGTCCTTCCCCCCATCCTTCGGGCCCTCCTTCGGGCCCTCTTTTGTCAGGCGCAACTGCACAGAGCGTGCAAGCAAGTCCTCGCTCACGAACACCATGGTGCTGCTCCCGAGCATGACGTCGACGGCACGCTCCGCGAGAAACGGCTTGAGCACCTTCGCGTGGTGGTCGTCGAAAGTCAAGGCCAACACACTGCGCCCGCTCTCGATGCAGCCGTGCATGCCTGCGCCGCCCGCAGGCGTGCCGAAGCGCACCCACCTGGGCGTCCCCGCCTCGCGGCAGAGCTCCTTGAGGAGCTCGATGTCGCTGTCGCGCGGGAGCCACGGCACCTCCGTTCCCGTGAGCTGGCGGTAGAGCTTCCGCTTCTTCACGGCCGCAGTCACGGGGGCCTTCTCGGGGCGGACGGCTGGTGCAGCTTCGTCGCGCGCCTCGGCGCCACAATCAGCGCCCTCGTCCTCCTGGAGAGGGTGGCAGTACCCCCAGCTTCTCTCGCTCCTCGGCCTCCACCTCGGTGACGCACTGGCCGACCATGCTGGCCAAGCTGGTCTCCCGAACCTGCTTGGGCACGAGGGCGTGGCTCTTCTGCGGCAGGACAGGCACGTTCCTCATCACTTCGTTGAAGAGGGGGCTGCCCGCGTCCACGAACTGCCTGATCGTGGCCAGTTGCTTCGGCTTCCGCCCCTAGTAGCAGAGCAACATGACCTCGTGCGAGCGCGAGTTCGCCAGGCCTCGCTGCCTCTGGAAGTGGCCGTGCTGCTGCATTTGCTTCGTGTTGTAGGCGAGGTGGTATGTGACCGTGCGGAACTTGTTTGCGGCAAGGATCTTCTGGATCTTCGGGGGGTTCGACTGCGCGCGGCCCGTCAGCGCCCACAGCACGTCCCGTCCACCGACCATCAGCGGTTCCAGGGACTTCAGGTAGCGTGTGAAATCCAACTCGTCCAGCGCGGGCTCACGGTGCGTGAGGCCTTGCCCCTCGAAGGCGCAGCGCAACTTCGCATTCTTGACATCGTAGAAGCCCATCACTGATGCATTATCTGTGAGGTTCTGGTATAGGCGTGTCTTAGTAACCGAAGCGTTGATATACATGGCGCTGCCCTCCGCCGTGATCATGACGACCCGCGCGTCCAGCGCGGTAGAGCACTGCTGCTCGCACAGCGCCTTGAAGTCATTCACGTCGCTCGGGGAGACGCCGATCTTCTTCTTGTCCTCGGAGGCCGCCTCCGCTGTTCCAGCGCCGCCCGCGGTTGCAGCGCCGACCGCGTCGCTGTCTGCAGGCTCTTGCTCCGACGGTTCCTGGGGGTTTCCCGCGAGAGAGTCGCGCGCGATTTGGAACTTCTCGAAGAATCTCTTGTTCACTCGCACGCTCCTGTGGAACTTGCCCATGTTGTAGCGCTCGGCGCGCGGCTGGGTGAGGGCGCCAGAGATCTCCTGCCTGTAGAATTCCTGGCCTATTTCGAGGAAGTGTTGCATCGCCAGGCGCAGCGCCTCGGTCGGCAGTGACTGCACCCAGGTCGGGCCCTTGTCAGGCCCCTCAGTCTTCTCGAAGAACTTGAGCGGCGAGTCGAGGTATTGCCTCGCCATGACCATGACTTTTCTCTCGGCGGCGTTCTCCTGTGCGTCTGTTGTTTCAGTGCTGTTGCAGCCAGTGCTCCCTTTGATCAAGTCTGGGTACTGTTTCAGAAAGTTCGCCGCGTACTTCCTCGCCCACAAGATCTCGCCCACTGCCTGGCCGATGGTGGAGGCGCTGTACGGGTCCTTCACGCTCTTCCGCCACATCCGCGTGTACAGGCTTTCCAAGACGTACCCAAGCGAGGTAGCGTCCGCCTTCGCGATGATCGTCCCAAGCTGTGTGGGCCTGTCCAGCAGATTGTCTCGCCCCCAACGGTTCACGGCGGCATCCAAAAGCAGCAATGCCCCCGGGCACTTTTCGAGAGCGAGCCAGTTGATCATGTGCGTCTTGACGGTCCTCAGGCTGGGGCAGTGCAAAAGTCCCCACTTGATGTTTTTTCTCCGACCACGCCTGCACCTTCTCTGTCGAAGAGTTCCCGCCACCTGGTCCGCCGCTCTTCAAGATGTCCGCCGCACGTGTCACGATGCGCATGAGGTTCTGGTTCTCGACCCCGAGGAAAATCGCGCAGGCGCTCGTTGCGGGATCTCTGGTTGACAGACCACTTGAACTTGTTCTCCTCGACCTCCTCAGCCGCGCGCCCCGGGATCAGCGCGAAATCGAAGGGCCAATCCAGAATAAAGTCCTCCACCGCTTCTACGGCCTGCCTGTTGCCTTCCTCTTTCGCCCAGTAGTAGGC